GAGACACACACACACACACACACACAGACACACACACACAGAGACACAAATGATTACATTTGATTACTTTTTGATTTCTTCTCTAAATGTTTTTAACTGTTAATAATTTTGAAACATGTAAAGCAGGCAGGGTTAACCTTACAGTAGTATTTAACACTAATTACTGTCAGACTTTCAGAATCCTTCATCACATGAATTAAGATTATAATAATTTAATTTTAAAACACAGCCACCACAAAATCAGACTTACTTTGAGATCATTCTGAGGTTAAATACAGATTTAAAACATTACAAGAAATATGATACTGTTTTTGAAATCAAATCTTTGCATAGTTATGACAGGAAACACTGGCATCTAACAACGGCTCGGAAAAAACAGTTAAAGCATATACATAAACCCAAATAGGAAATAAATCAGTTATGGAATAAGCATGTGTCCTAAACTCCTGAAACATTGCAGTCTCATATTTTAGAGCAGTCAACACAATTTATGAAAGAAATCAAATAAATCTGTATGTGGGTGTGTGTGAAAACAATTCAGATGTAACCCGGTTTGTAATTGTTAACATTTTCATAAGTAACTAATTTAATTACACAATTTTTCTCTGTAACTGATTACAATTACATTTATTTAGTAATTAAATGACGTAATTCTGTTACATGTAACTAGTTACTCCCCAACACTGCTGTTATTATAACACATGCGCGTCATTCTGTGTCAACTCAACCAGACGTACCCGGCTAAACGATTTGATTTTTAGATTTTTCTGGTGAATGAAATACATAAATGAAGAAGAAAGGCAAATATTAAATGCCATGTATGAGTAATCCACAGTTTTGTAGAGAGGGTCAAAATGACAATTCCTCCTGAGATCTGGAGGAGAAAATGCCTTCAGAAAGATGGCAGCATCATTAAGTTATTTTCACGCAGAGATTGAAAGCTCTTTTAGTAAAATCTGTTGACTTCAGCAAATCTGTGGCATTATATGCCAATGGTGACCGTTCAAAAACACTACATTTTTATGTGTGTAACTCAAGAAATATTAAAGATATCTCTATATCCTTTTAGATTCTGGTTCTTAACAAACTGTTCTTTTGTAATAATCACTTTTTAGAGCCTACGTGGTTCAGTCCCAGAGATATGGAGATTTCATTCCGGCTCCATGTGCAGATTTCTCACTGTCGTCGTATGAAATCATCTTTCTGAAGTCACTTTCCCCTGTAATTTAGCTCTAAATCTCAGGTGATAATTGTTGTTTTGACTTCATGGCATTTTAAATGATACATTTTAGCTGAGGAAGCTTCTGAAATGCGGTTGATTTGACTCTGATATACACACGATGACTGATATTCACTGAATAAAAGCAGACAGTGGAGAGGTGAAGCATTTCTCTAGCTTAAGTGCCCGTATGGAAAGATGGATTTCTAACTCAGAACCACAAACGCTGTCGCTCAGGTGGAGATTGAGAAGAGAAAGGATCTGAACACGTGACGCGGATCGTCCTTTTCCATATGGGCCAGATCTCTGCCACACCTGATGATGATGAGGATGAAGATGATGATGAAGCTCTGTTCAGTTCTCTGAATTACCTGAAGGGCTCTGGCCTGCACTGTGTTTTTTAACATCTGAACATCTTCTATAAAGGGACCATCAGTCTCCATTTCTACAGGACTGTTTAGTCCAGACGGATCAACACACAAAACGTACTAGTGGAAAAGAAAATAACAGAAACATGAGCGTTACAGAGAGTCATCAGCAGCGACGGAAGAAACAGAGCGAAGCAGACGGACGTCAGCAGAAACGTCACTTCAGAGCGTGAATCAGGTCATGTGACTGACAGGAAGTGGAGATTCGGTTCGAGAGAAACTCACCTGCGGGTTTGACTTGGCCAGACTCGAGATCTTCATCCAGGCCTCCTCTCTCTCCTTCAGCCTGGCCTTCTCTCTGGAAGCAGAAGCGTCAGTGTTTTCGTCTCACGTGAAAGGACGGCTGTGTTTGTGTCTCAACTCACTTGTTCTTCTCGGCTCTGAACTGTTGTGTGCAGTCGTCAAACAGCTTCTGGTTCATCTCCATGAAGAGCTTCAGTGCGTTATAGATCAAGCCGTGAATGGTCCTGCAGTCATTTCACGAACACAGAGAAGAGAGATGAAGAGTCATGCATTCAGACAGAACAAAACATCGTTTAGTATGTTTATGCTAGCGAGTAAAGCGTGACGCTGGATCCAAACGGCATCAGACACAAGTCTTACTTGTTCCAGTGGCTCTTGGAGTTGCGGTAAAGCGCAGGGAACATGATGGGTAAGATCTTGGCTGCGTTGTCGCTGATGAGACTCATGATGTACTCGTTATTCCAGTAATAAAGCGCTCTCTCCGCCACCTGTCAGAAGCACACGTCACGTCAACTCTAATTTATTTGTATAGCGCTCGTCACAACACTCACAAATAGTAGTCTGTTACTGATTCCAAATGACACGCTAGAAATTGTAGTTAGTAACGAAATCCATTACACTACACACTTTTAGATTACTTTTGACCTAATTTGTGTATCACATTAATTTAAATAAGATAATCTTGTACCTAGGGCTCTATGATTTCCGCGATGCGGACGAAATCACGGAATCCAATCATAAAAACGGAATTTACTGTATCACGCGGAATGTCACGGAATTTGCCTAATTTGGATGAATACATCAAAAGTAGGTCAGTACATTTTAATCAAAACACAATATGGACTAGTGTCTGTGAATATTAAGCCGCATTTAAATATGAATCCTGTGTGTTCTGCGTGTCTCTGAGGTTTCGTTTACTTCACTTTACTGCCGCCTCAATATATGAACACATGAACATGATCTCTAGAACTGCTCTGAGAGTCGCTTCATGAGCATTTCACCGTTTCTTTTGAGTAAAACTATCGTTATATCATAAACAAACAGAAACCTAAAGGTCTTCACAGCAGCCTGTCAAAATAAAAGTTCGGTTTAACTTGAAGAAACAGTGACAGAAATATTACTTAATGTAATGATAGTACTACTACTGCCATTTCTGGATTAAAAAAAAAAAATTTGTATAAAATCTATTAATTAGAGATGGTTTTGATTATTAATATTTAATGAAACCATTAAAATGAAATCCAGAAAATTAATGGAAAACAGAATTTGGTAAGAAATAAAACATAAAACACCATTTCATAGGGCCTTAAAAATGTAATTTATGTTGAAGTTTTAATAAAGTGCTGTTTAATATTATAAGTTTTATGATTTCAATTAATTAGACATGCTTTTTGATGAATAAAATTATATTTAACCGATAAAACAGAGTCTAGAAGAACTAAAACGGGGAAAAAAATAGAATCCAGAAAAATTTAAACTGAAAAAAAAAGGAACGGAACTTGGGAAAAAATCAGACGGATTTCATAGGGCCCTACGTATTGATATACAAATACATAGAGAGAAAGAGATTACATTCCAAAAAATGTCATGTGAACATGTGAATAATGTGCAATCCAGTGTCGGATACTTTTAAAAGTAATGCATTACAGTATTGTGTTACTTAGTTACTTTTTTGGAAAGTAATGGATTACGTTACTTTAGCGTTACTTTTTGTCACCTGAGCTGGGCTTGCTTATTTGTTTTTTAATAACAAAAAACCCAAAAGTTATATTTTTTGGCAACTGTAAAGGCCCTTTCACACCAAAAGTGAAATGAATAATCCTCAGGCTGAAGGAAGAACCTCTGCACTTACTCCCGATTTCTCTACATGGGAACAGGAGAGCTGTCAGTCAATAAATGAGAAAACAAAGTAACTTAAATTAACTCCGATATATTATTGACAATTTGAAAGCGTCACGATCTCTAGCTCCAGAGTCTTGCCACTTTACCCCGGACTCCATTTCCCATAATCCTTTGCCCGGACTCATCAGCACTCACCAATTGCAGTCACCTGTCTCTCATCACCTCGTCAGTCACACACTATAAGAATGACACACATACACACACACAGACACACACACACACTCTTGCACCGCTGATGTTTGATAGCTGTAATGTTTCCTAATTTCCTTGTTTTCCAAGTTTCCTAGCCTTCGTGTTTTTGATCTTGGACTGTTTTCTTGTTTCTGATTGTTTGCTGCCTGCCCTGACCATTGCCTGTTTATTGGATTACTTTTTTTGGATATTACTGTTTTGCTGGTGTTTGACCCTGACTATGATCTTCATAACCTCCATTTCGTTGTCACGACACCTTCTACATTACAAAAAGTAAGGTGTTACTTTACTAGTTACTTGGAAAAGTAATCTGATTACATAACTTGTAATGCATTGCCCCCAACACTGATGTAATCATGCAATCAATAAAAAGTAACTGTAGTCTAATTACGAGTATTTTAAAATGTAATTTAATTTGATAATTAATTGCATGTACTTAATTTTTGGAATCCGATTATGCAATCCAGATGACATGTAATCTGTTTCCGGCAGCTTTACAGTCTGTAATGCTTGTGACATGGGCATCGAGCGAATTTAACTTGCCAGTTTTAGAGCTGGACATTTGGCTTATCAGTAGACATTACACAGCTTTGTATATTTACAAAAATTAACCATGGTTTTATTATAGTAAAATTGTAGTAAACATGATTTTTTTGGGGTATTGACTACCATTTGTATAACCACAGTTATAAAGCGGATAGTTCCGGTGCTTGATTCTGATTGGCTGAGCCGCGTTCGAAGCTGTTGTAAATGACTCTACAAAGTAACACACACCTTTGTTTATGTTTGTGTGTTGCTCGGCAACCACTTTGTAGCAACCACAACTGTTTCTGAGGAGCTACATTGTTTGGTGGAAGAATACTGTTTTTATTAATATCATTACACTTTATTTGCTCTGTTTTATTTTGTGAAACCTTACTACGTATATGGAATAACCGTTTTATAAAAGCAATAAGCCCCGTGAAGCTGTGGTTTACAGTGAATTTATAACAGCTAAGGGGGTTTCTCCGCTTCACGTCGTACCTAACAGCGTCCCTTAGCTGTTATAAATTCACTGTAAACCACAGCTTCTTGGGGCTTATTGCTTTATTTTACTACAAATACTATGGTTAGTGTTGCAAGACCATGGTTAATTTGTGGTTACCATGGGTTAACTATAGAAACCATGTTTTGTTTTGTTTTTGTAGTAAAACCATGGTTTATATTACTAAAATCTCTGCTTTCTTTCCCCAACAATACTCTATATGAATTTTCAGTTTTATTCACACATTTCTTGATGGTTTATAACATTCTATTTTTATAAAGTGTATGTTGGTTCCTTTCGTTGTTTCACTGTTTGATGAGGAATATTTCAGTACTTTACATCACACGTATGTAATATGAAGGAGACCAAGAATGAACCTCAAACCAATCTAAAACAGACAAGCATCGGTCTTCTCCGCTTGGCTCACCTGGAAGTGCGGACTGGACACACACTTGGCCAGCTGACGGAAGAGCGGCTCCATGACCTTCACGAACTCAGACGGCTCGATCACGTCCAGGATCTCCTCCAGCTCGTTGAGGAACATCACCTCCTTCGGACTGTGAGTCTTTATCCTAACAAACCATACATCAATGGAAAGCTTATTTATACATCTCAATTTCACAATGTACCCTTATGACTGGTTTTGTGCTCCAGGATCATCTATAAACCTGCTAAATTCCTAAACACTGAAACCTGTATCTATCTGTATTTATGTTCTACTGTTAGTGTTATCTGTATGCACTAAGGGTCTAAGAGCAACGCAGAAGAATTGACAATAAAGCAGACTTGAGACTTGAGACCTGTGTCCAGCTAAGACTGAATTATCACACCATTAACACTCAGAAACGTATGAAGGCACTGCTCACCTGTAAAATATGTTATTAATTTGCTTTCTAATGTAAGCGCGCAGCCCGAGAAACTTTCCATATATTCGATGCAGGGTGGTTTTCAGGAAATCTCTCTCTCGTGGATCTTCACTGTCAAACAACTCCAGAAGCTGAAATTCAGTTCAGAAACAGCGCTTCACACGTCTGAACTAATACTGAAACTTCAGCTTATTTATAGTGAAATTACATTTCTGCAAACCTGCATCACAAATTTCTGGTCGATGTATTTCTTGGCAATATTCGGCTGAAAGTCGGGCGACTCGAGAAACCGCAGGAAAAACTCGTACACCAGCTTCGAGAAACAGAAAGATGCTGTGATGAGCAACAGGTCAAACTCTGGTGACGTTATTTATTCAGATGCGGAGTGCTGTAATAATCACTCATGTTATCATGATCGCTGCTGTCGTCACACACTGCATACATGTACAGACTCACCAGAAAACATTGTTTCTATTTATGTGGCACAGTAAGACATTGCATAAACATAACATAACATAATGATTGAATATACCATCGGCCAAATAAATACTTTTTTTTTTTTTTTTTTAATCTTTA